AGCGAGATTTCGACCCAAAAAGGAAGCAGAGAAGACCACATTGAGTTGACCTTTCGTTAGCTTTAATGAGATTATCTCCTAGACCCTTCATTGACCCATATTGGATCTCGGAAGCGATGTGCTCCACCAGGCGACCACGACCCGCTCCAATCATTCCCCCCCGCGCCTTCTCACCCTTCACGCACGGTGGCATCACACGGTTCTTCAGCTCCTCGTCGACGGCTTCGGAGCAGCGGAGTGGTGTGCGGTTCTTTCTGCGTAGTTGATGAAGACAGATCTCTTGTTTCAGTCTATTCCCGGGTCAATAAATAGATGGCCCACTAGGTACAGTACACAGGTCCAGGGAAGAAAGGAATCTTATACTTATCTTCTTTCGAAGCTATCCGCAGCCCTGTCCAGTCTATCTCCCTCTCCCCAGTCTTCCTCTCCGCGTTCAGCGCCTCCGAGCCGTGGTGATACACGGGTGGCAGACCAATGGTGGTGCCGCCCGCAATGCCCCACTGGAAACCCACGGAGCCCGTGCGCGACATCTCGTCGTACATGATGAGCTCGTGGAAGTAGTCCTGCGCGCGCGCGCTGGCGACCGCGAGCGACGGTCGGTGGAGCGAGCGCCAGAGCGGCGCTGTGACCGACGGTGGGTCGGGGGGTGGACTGAGTTGGAGTTTTGATCGGTGGATGGGAGGATGGGAGGCAGAATGAAGAGGTGAACTGGGTGGTCTTTCATCCACAGGTGTACTGTATATCCCAGCAATACCTTGGAATTGCTGAAGCAATCAAAAGAAATGAATCAAGAAAGGCGGATGTGTTGGACAAAATTGTTGGCAAGCTTTGGGCCGCACCCCACGGTTCTGGGCGCTTCGAGAAAAGAGTTCATCTGGCAGTCCACCGTGTCAAAAGCCCTTGGCTTGCATCCCCACATCCCGTGCTTCACCCTAGACGCCCTAGACCAGCAAACGTATCAGACTGGCCCTCTTGCCAATAGCCACTGCGCCGGCCAAAATGGACACAAGATGATGCGAGTCAGCTGCGAGTCAAAAAAAGGAGCTCCACACCTGTTGGTCACGATCACACACACCTCATTCCCCACCGACATCGAATTCAATTCATCCGGCCAACATGGTGCAGAAGAAGGACACTACTAGTAACAAAGGGCATCGCTACTAGGAGCAAGGACGCTACTAGTAGCTCCTGCCCTTACTTCTACAAGTGGTGGCAAAAAGCTACAAGCGCAACATGGTGCAGAAACAGAACTCTTCTGACTCTGAGGCAAATCCCCCTGGACAAGTGGAACCGAACTTTCCACCGATCCGATGTTCCTCAAGCAGCGCAGGCTTTCTGGGCTCTCTTTGAGCCACACACGGAACCACCCACCCACCCGTCAGCTCGGCCCCCCCCCCCCCCCCCCCCCCGCTCCGGCTCGAAGCCCCACGGGGAGGGGCCGAAGTACTTCTCGGGCCATGGACGGCCGATGCACAGCGCCAGGGTGCCCTGCTTGCCCGCCTGTCCATCCGCCGGACCGATGAGGGAGCTGGGAGGAGCCGGTCCAACGAAAAGGAAGGATCATTGTGTCTGGTGTCAGCCTTGTTCATGTCCATTCACAACCCACCATGGAGAACAGCCGCGCTTTTGAGCACCCTCTCAGCCTGACTGGAGAACATGGAGAACATCTCAAACATGGTCACATCCCATCGTTTTGGACTGTTTGGGGTCTTGACCACCCCCGATCTGTTCGCCCCACGCGACCCGTCTTCGGTGGGTCTTGGGTCTTCGGTCGCACATCGACCCAAGGCAACAGCGACGCAACATCGACCATCATCGACCATCTGGACACAACATTTTTGTGTTCAGATTCGGATGGGGTCCTCAATTTCCACAAGAGATCAGAGCTTTCTCCGGCCTCCAGGTACATCTCCTGGCCAAAGTGGGCCAGGCTGGGAGAGAGAACCAGACTCCCAGCACACTCCCAAAAGCATGAAAAACCACCGGTTTGGCCATGCCATCCACTTCGGGAGTGTAGATGTTTGTGAGTTTCCTGGAAACATAATGCGCAATGCTCTAGCTATGAATTCAAACCCAAACCTTCGGTCCGGCGGTTGGCCATGTCTGCTGGAGACTGTTCTTCTGTTCATTATGGGGAGGGTCTTCCCCAGGGTATCTCCCTGTTCCAATATTGGCACCCAGGTGAGAAGCCTTCCGCCAAATCCACGATCCAAGCTGCGAACACCTTTTGGGACGTTTACAACAAACAAATGAGTGGATGACACAAACCAGAAACCAGTGTGTGATTCAGATGGGTGACGCATATCAAAAACCGAAGCTTTTCCATCCAACATGAAGAGTATGCCAATGACTCACTCACTCACTCCCTCCTCCCTCACTCCGTCCGGCCCAGCTGCCAAAAATATGACCCCTTCTTCCACCCAGCTTCCCAGGGGCGCTCGCGTTCCGGTCCGCTCCTTGGGGATGGTTCCCTTCTCGTCCCAGTCGTGCACGTTGCTCATGATGTGCTCGTCCACGTACTCGCGCATGAGCTTGCGGAACTGCTTGTGCGTGTCGTTGTAGTAGGGCGTGTTGTAGGCCTGGCTGGGGTAATGAAAAAAGGAAATACACCCGTGTTTTTTGGACACCTTCACTTGTATCACGTCCTTCATCTATAAAACTTAAAGGGGTACAAACCAGTGGACTCCGTCCACTCCTTTGAGCCTTGGGGCTCTGCGCAGCAATTTGCCGATTTGCCGGCACTGAACCGGTTATCATCACTGTTGACATCATGCCACAGATATGATGCGAACCAGCAGTAATTAGATATCATGCAGGCAATCCAAGCCAACAACTGTGGGAAAATTGTCGAATTAGAGGCTGCCCCCTCCCTCCCTCCCTCCCTACCTGCATTATTGTTATTTTGTTATTATATACGATTATTATTTATTAATATATCGTTGTTTGTTGTCAAAGGATGACCCAATGACAGACCAAACCCAAAGACCACACATCCAATACTAGGTCCTGAAATGTCCTTAAGCAATCTCATTTACAATCCCCTTCCGACATCAATTCTCCTCATGGATCCTTCCTCCCTCCGCTCCGGAATGACCAGGGCGCCTGGTACCAGGAGGGGTCGCCAAAGGGGTGCCCCTCGCCGTAGACCTCCGTGTTCATGCCCTTCAACATCGCAGGGCTCACCATCTTCGCACTACGACCAGGTCGGGAGGAATCCAAAATGAAACGAACTCGCCTTCCCCGGAACTCTTGAGCACAACTGGCCACGCACAAGGGATGATATATCATATCTGTCCAGTCTACTATTCTTCTAGGGAATCAAGGGTTGTTTACAACGACAAATCCCTCTCCTCACCAAACGGATCGAATCAGAATGGCCGAGGGCGCGCTCCCGTCGCCGCTCGCGCGGTGCGCCTTCCTTCACAAACCGGCTCCATCGGAGCCGTTGGGTCTCAACAAGACCTGGCCTACGGAGGCGCCTTCCGGGTGAAGGTTCCCTCCGAACTGAAACCTAAGGCGATCGATGTGAGGGCTGCTTCCGAACTGGTTGGCTTAACGGCGCTACAAGCGAATGGGGTCGGGTTTTGCGAGGTAGACAGAGCTGTCAAGCAGTCCTCCCTCACATCCGATTGCTCAAGAGCTCTACATCTTGGCCTGCTGCGCTTGTGGCGCGGCCTCCGCAAACATCTTCGCCATCTGAGCCAGCTTGGTTGACTGCTTCACGCCGAGGTCCAGCATGATCTCCTGATAGCTCTGGGGTAGGGCATAGGGGTTGGGCAGGCGGTTTCTTGTCCAGGCTGGTTGAACCTGACTCAACAAATCGACAGAAACTCCCCATGACCAACGACTCCGCCCAATGCCACAATGCCTGAGAGATGGTCATTCCTCAACCATCTCTCTCCGTTCACTCGATCTTCTTCGCACCTCTGCTTCCTCTACATCGACTTCGTTCCAAGCTCCAACTTGCACCTTGAAAAGCTCCAGTCCACCAAAACCCCCATGCCCCTGAGCCGGGTTCCCCGCCCGTGCCTGGAACCAGCCCTCCCGCAAAGGCGGCCCGCCCGCCTCGGATCCACCGGGGATCGCCATGGCGCGCACCTCGCGGTTCAGGCGCTCCACCTTCTCGCCCTGCCCGCCACGGCTGTAGGACAGGCCGCCAAAGATCTGCGCGGCCTGCGCTGACGGAACCGATCGGGGCTTCCGGCGAGGCGAGCTAGCACCGAACACAGGGGGGCTAGTGGCGGGTTGGTTTTGGAGTGACCCAAGACCATGTACCAATATGCACCATACGGCAGAAGCTGACATGAAAAAGAACAAGAACATGTGAACATCCACTGACCAAACAGTTCCAAAAAAAAGCCCAACTCTTCGCCCTTCCTTCCCCCGCCCGATAAAACACCTCACGGGCGCAGTACTCCATGACCTTGGTGCACTGCACCTGCCGCTGGACGTCCGATCCGACGGGCCGAGTCCTTCGGAAGCTCGGAGTAGTTGGAGTCACACGGCTGAGACACGGCTGCCCAAGCTGAGATCCGAGGGCCGCCGAAGAATTCAGGTGTCCGCCCAAAACCAAAACCGGCGCTCCTCTCAGTTCATTGAGCTTGCATGGACGGAACATATGAGGGGTGCAAGTGCAAGGGGAACCCTGGCAGTCTTTGAATCTGTTCAAAATGAGGCAGCACCGACCACCTTGTCTACCTGTCAAGCTGTTCAAAATTTGGTGTCACGGCGATGGACAGTAGTTTCTCTTCCAACATCACCACGGGGTTGCCGTCTCAAAAGCCGCATAGTTCACGACTGTTTGCTATCTATATATATATATAATATTGGTCGTACTTATGTTTCTATAATTGTCTATATCGGTAAACTATGCTAAGGATGGCCAATGACAAACCAAACCAAAAACCACATACGTCCAATCATGGGTCCTTAAACAATCCCATTTACAAGTCTCTCATCGCCCGCAAAACCCCATATATAAACGACGGCCGTAAGCTCGCCTTGCAGAGCGCCGTGTGGCCGCCGAGCTTCAACATGGCCTCGAGCAAAACGGAGGACCAAAGTTTGGAAAAAAGAGCGGAGGAAACCGCCAGAAACGCACCCGAAATCCGTTTCCATCGAAACGCTCGAACCTGCCAGCCTCTTGCTATCGGAACACACCCGCCTCTTGGTTCCTGTGCAGAAAGTTCCTGGTGTGCAATTTGTCGGGATGATGAAGCTTCTCGGTGTTCTCTCTTCCCAGCCTTCAAAGACCAAAAGAATGGTTCACTGTACCGACGGTTTTTGGTCGTGTAAAATCCTCAGTATCAATGGTTTCTTTGGTAGATCGACCATTAGAATTCTAGGGTTGTTGGAGTTATAGGGCTCTGTGTTGGCAAACAATTGCTGACCTCACAACGCAACAAAGGAGGAACAGAAACCATGATACTTTCGCATGCCTGGAACCCCAAACAACCAGAAACAAATGGTTGTTCCAATATGTCAATGAGATCCTTCTTGGGAAATGACTGTTTGGGGAAACATTCATTTCTTTCTGGTTGTTTGGGTTTCCCGGTGGGAGTCCTTCCAGCAAAAGAGCGACCAGTATGGTCATCCCCGCAGGATGTCTGGGAGAAACCATGAGAAGCCTGAGCCTACGCAACCTCTCGTGGATGTGCATTATGCAGAGGCCCCCCATTCTTCCAAGCATCTAGCACAACAATCTGAAGGGTGGGCGTGACCCTGCTCCTCAAACAACCACGCACTCTGTTGTGAAATCAGACTGGGCCTCTATCTTCGGCATGGTCTTCAGCTGGAAGGTGATCCATTCCAGCCAGTTGTGGGTGGCCTGAAAATGGCTTCTTCGGCAGTCATGGGATTTGGAGTCTTCAAGAGCCACTGACTTTAAAACACTTATAAACTTATAGAGGTGGGGAGTTTCGGACTCCATTTCGGACTGATTCATGCGTCACGTGCGAGGCCACATGAGATTCGCCCACTTCTTCACACATGAGATTCGCCCACCTCCACCATGCGCGCCATCTCGGCCACCTTCCAGCGGATCACGGGGTGCTGGATCAGCGTCTTCCTGAGGAGTCGGCTCAGCGTCATCCAGTTCTTTGTTCTTTGAATGAAATCCTGTGTAGAAACTGAAGTTTCACATGGAAACCAAAAAAAAGATCCAGGAAAAGATCTCTCGCAACACGCCACACTGGACCCCACCCGCTTTGGGCGTGGAACCCACGGAAAAAGCGCACGGGGCGGAGCGGCGCAGCGCAGGGGTGTGAAGCTGTTCTCTCAGCGAAAGGGAGAACTCTCATGATGGTGCTATTCACCTGTTTCAGACATAAGTCCAAGTGACCAGAGGCCGAGGCCTTGAGTGTTTTACCTCCTTCTTTTAAATGTGCGTAAACAAAGGGTCAAGTACGGCCCAGTGTGGCCCAGTGGCATCATCTAGAATCTAACCTCCTGAGGAAATCAACTTTTTTAGAAACCTGCACCATGGCCCCTGCTCTACCAACAAAACTAGATGTGCTCATCCCCCAAAACCACCTTTGCTAAAAGGACCCTTCAATGCTCTAGTTGCTCATGAAACCCCTCAGCCTCTGTCCAAATCACGGACCTTGAGATGGTCTTTCACCCTTGCTCCGCTTCACTGACTGTCAACCAAATGACCATGGCACGCCTGCCCACCCTTTGGCGCCTTCACACACCAGACACCGGACGTCTCGTCTAGTACCTTCGTCTTGTTGGACCTTCTTGTCGGTCAAGGGGCCCAAAGGTCTTCCGCTTGCTAGCAAACTTCAGCGAATCCTGCGCGAACGTCTGGACGAAGGACGAAGGTCTCAACACGCGCGGCCCTTTTTTAGCTGGCGCGCCGAGGGGAAAGCGATGAGGGCAGGAAGAAGGGGGCCCATGTTTCGGCACAGGGTCATGTGGTGAAAAACCTAGGGCCCTAGGGGATGCTTCGGAGGATGTCATGTGGTGAGGAAACAATAAACCACTTGTTGGGACGTGTTTGGGAAGGACCTTGATTTGATGCTTGAAGGCACCACAGTCCACAGTCGGAACCAATGGAGCCTCCGCTCCGGCTTCGCGGTGGCTCGGTGGCTCCGTGGCAGTGAAAGGTCCTCCTTCATCGAGTGAGATCGTGGAAGACTCCCATGTTCCAAGCTAACTGGTGGTTGCTTGAAGATTTGACGTTTTGGGGGAAAGCCGGCTGGAGTGGCTTCTGCAGGATTGGCTTCCAGCAGCTTCAGAATTGAGTTTGTCCTCCCGAACTCAACATCTCAGAAGTGTCATGATGGCCCTCCAGCTTAGCCCTTTCGTTCTTTCATCCCCACCTCCAAGCAAACCCGGGCGAAGCGGGTGCTCATGGCACAGAAGGCGAAACGCTCATGGTTGAAGTTCTGCATCATGTACCTAACTGGAGAAGTCCAAGCGGTCCGTCCGTGCTTCCGGAGATCATCAAGCTTCCGGACTCAACACCAGGCCGGTTGTCTGAGGCCTTTTGGGCCGCTACCCGGCGGAGAATATTTTTTGCGTGGTAGCTTGTCAGTGCTGGTCCCCACTTGCTGAAGTAGAATATGTCTCTCGGCCCAGTGGCTCCTCAAGGCCACTGGATTGAGTCGAAACAACAAGGCCTCTGGTTTCGATCACCAGACCTGAGAGAGGACTCTCCCTGTTCCAACTTTAACGGTCATGTTCCCGGCGGTCCAACGGTCACTTTGCCCTGGAAACTTGAAAGTCATTAATAAGCTCACACGGCACCAAATTCTCTGGCATTGTCTGCCGAATATCCAAAAACTGTTGTATTGCTTGAAGGACTTCACCAAGACGTAAGGAGTTTTTGTGGGACGATGTGGCCAACCAAAAGCATTGGTGGGACGAGAGGACCAATCGAACTGAGAGCGGCCGAAAAGACCGCAGGCCCATGGTTTAGCCAGCTTCGGACTAGAAACACATGGCTATGTCATGATGTATTGTGAGCCTTTCTCTGCAACCCATGGCTTTTGAGAACCTTCTGATTGAAGCTCCAAGGAACTGGAAGCCCTTGCCCTCCTTGCCCAGCAGGTTGCCCTTGGGCACCTGGCAGGCTTAGAGCTCTGATGGCGCCCTAAAGCCACAACATCCGAGACCTCCAAATTCATCCCACAACACCGAAATGGATGGGTCACCCTTCGTGGCAAAGCCCCACCCTGGAGAACTGGCGAGACATGGAGCCACCGGTCAGCCCTCCACCTCCCATGCGCCTGGACAAACGTTGTAGAATCAGGCAGTGCATTGGATCTACCTTCCTACAATCACTTGAATCATCTTGAATCTACCACTGGCGGACACCCAGCCCAAAAGGGCGACTTTCGCAACAAAGTACCACGTGTGAAAAGGATGGCTCGCTCGCTCCATGTCTCACCAGTTCTCCACGAGCGACGCGGCGCCACGGGACCGAAAACACGTGGCGCCGCGGGACCGAAGCCTATGGGAGCATGGAGATGTCGTCCCTGAATGGGGTCATATCGATTCTGGTGAGGCCAAGGTAAACGGCAAGGAACCCAAGGCCAGGCTGGTTCATGAAATGAATGATCATCAACCCAGCCTGGCAATGGGGAAAATGGATCAAAATGTGCAAAAACCCTGATTGGTGATTCATCTTTTCCATTGTTTCGGTCAGACCTGGGGCCTGTGCACGACGCAAGAAAAGGCGACTGGGACGCTGCTTCATGTTCCCTTCCAGCAGTACCACAATCTGTGGTAACCCCTATAATTCTTCCTCTACTTGTGCCTTTCTGCCACGACTTTTCAGGTGTCCTGGCTTCTTTGAACCTCTGTGTGCGTGTGTAACCGTCGGACTCACAGGGATCCGTAGGTTTGCTTGCAGAACAGGGGGGAATTCCACATTGCAGTTGATTGCCCTACGAAGAGGGCTGCAATTGTGGCTGATATCTGGAAAGGACGCTTTCCAGACGTACCTGCTTCTTTTTGAACTGTTGACCAAGCCGTGACTCCACTCTCCAATCAAGGGCTATATTTCATGAGTTCTGCAGACATGAGCGACTCCAACTTTGAGATTGGGCCTCTTCTTTCTTTTGGACCTCTACACTCAGACCCCTTACTTGTTTTTTCAGGAATATGGGCGCCTAGGTTGGCGTGTGGCAACCGCAATCAAGTCCGTACGCATGTCCATAAGTGTGTATTCCAAGTCATCCTCAGTCACCATGCCGAACAAGAAGTTGCTCGACCGAAGCCGGTCTTCCCGCCTTGGCCGCGCTCGCCTTTGCCGCGCGCGGGCGAACCAGCCTTGACGTCGTCGAAGGTGATGTAGGTGGTCCCGGAGCTCCAGGCACCCGAGCACTTCATCTTCCTGGCGTTCTAAAAATCGAAGCGGTCAAAGCGGGGGGACCAGGTGGTTCGTAGTCCATCCCAGGAGCCGGGCGGAGCGGAAACCTGTGTAGTTCGGTTTCCATGGTTTTGGCAGCCCCTGTACACACGTTCGTGCACATGTTTTCCATTCACGCAACTAGTTTTGGATTGTTGCCAGCATGTTCCACGACAGGCGATGTGCCAAACCTAGTCAAACACTTTTGGAAAGTCCACCTTTCGAGTATTTTTCACGATGCTTTTGCATCAGCCTAACTGCGCATGGGTGTTGTCCGGGTGTCCTACACACTTCCCGAGAGTCATCGAAATTGTTCTCAAAAAGAATCCTACAACCGTCCATCCACTTCGTACACCAGCGTGAGCCAGAGGAAGTCTTGCAGGGTATTGCAGCGAGATTTTCTTTCTCTTGGCCCTCCCCTATCCTCAACAAAGTTGCCCTTGAATGTGGTGCTGCATCGTAGAAGCGACAGAGCGTTCTTCTTCTACGCAACAGCTGGAGTTTGCAATTGTGTTTGGGTTTGGGCCCCGGCACCGAGCAAACACTGCAAATGCTGTGTCGGACACTCCTGTGGAACAATCCTCTTGGACACTCTGGCTTGACACTCTTGTGGGATACTGCTGCGGGGCACACTTGTGGGACACTCTCCTGGGGCACTCTTGTGTGTAACTCTTGTGGACACCATTGTGTATGTGTGTGTGACTCCAACATGGACTCGACATATCCGAAACCCATGCGCTTTACGGCGCTTTCTGGGCTGCCGATCTTTTTGCGTGGCCTGCTCCATTTTTGGCCGCTTTCGCAAGCATCAATTTCACGTAAGGCCAACATAGGGCCAACAAGGGCGCAACATGGGCCAACATGGAATCAAGCTGGGCGTAACCTGGACCCCACATAGGCCGAGCCTGCGCGCGACATAGGCGGACACAGGCCCACCCTGGGCTCAAGATGGCCCCCTCTTCACACCAGAGCGGAGATAGGCCAACATAGGCCCAACGAGCTTCACTTGGGTCTTTTTGTGGGCTTCGAGGAACATATAGTATGAACATATTGTCACCCTCGGGTCAACCTGGCGCAACCAGGGCGAGACCGGTGTGTGACATCTGCTTGCCGACTATATTGCAGTGTGCGACGGCTCACCCGACTTTTAGCCAGGGGCTCCGTCCACGGAGGATGCTGCCGGGATGCCCCGTCCCGGCCCCCGTCTTGTTCTCAGACATTCCACTGCGTCAGCGCACACATGCTTTGCCACTTGCATCCCATAAATTACCCAGGTCTACAAACACGCACCCGCAGATCCAGAGCTCGGGCTACTGTCCCTCCAGCTTTCTCTGAGAGTGGTCTCCTTTCCCTTACCCTTCCTTCTTTCTCCTCCCTGCCTCGGCCAGCGCCCGGCTCTCAGGCGTAAGCCTTTATGTCGCATACTTAACTCTGCTCAGGTTTCTTCATCTGAAAAACAACATACTGAGCCGGGCCGCGATATACCAAAATCTGGTTGTCAAAGAAACTGAAGGCAGCAAAAAATGAGCGCTCCGAATCGGTCACTTCCCCCAGTGCCCACCTAGCTGTGAATCGCACATGATGACCATCTTCTCAACCGGAGGATTTGTCGGAGATCTGCTGTGACAAAGCGATTGCGCAAGAACGGGAGCGCGGTTGTCTGTAGATGAAACCACACCAAAGGGGGCTCCCATCAAAAGCGATGTCGCACAAAACCCTTCGGGGGGGTCCATGCTCACAACACCGGCGTCCTGCACTCGAGGCCCTCCATGCCCTTCTCCACCAGCAACAAGCTGATGCCGCCCACACCAGGCTTGCCAGTGCGGCAGGCCACCTGAGATGGAAGAAATCAGAAGCACTTGAGATGGAAGATACCCATGCTGACGATTCGTAGCCCCCACATGCTGACAGCCAAGTCCCAAAGCCCCTACTCACTCAAGTCCCAAAGCTTCGTGCTTCTGCGAAAGATGTTCGACAAATCCGCCGCCGAGCTGCAGTAAAGTAGTCCGCAAAGATTCCGTTGGTGATCCACTTCTTCTCACCGTTGAGGATGTAGAAGTCGCCCTGGCGGACTTGAAAGGTGAAAGAGGTGAAAGAAGCATGCAAAAAAGAAACGTTCCAAAGAAGAATCCCAAAATCCCAAATGAAAAAAGAACTGGACGTGCTCTGATTTCTTTCACATCGACGTTGCCAGGACTTGCAGGGCAGCAGCTAGCCTTCGGGAGATGCCCGGTGTCAGACCCAGGTTCGGTGCCATGGTTCCAGATGTGTTCCGAAGATGTTGTTCTTTGAACCATGGGTCCCCAAAAAGAACTCCTTGAACCAGGATCAACCTGCGAGGCACTGTGGAGCTTCGACTGTGGGGCACTTGGCTCGCACCAACGACACTTTGCCGGGTTCGTTCCTTCCGGGCGCACTTCAGGCAAAAAAAAACTTACTTTTGTTGCTAGTAGCGATGGCCTGCAACCAAATAGCGATGGACCAACCGAATAGCGATGGCCTCCAACCCAATAGCGATGGCCTCCAACCTAATAGCCATGGACCAACCTAATAGC